GAAAATGCATTTTATTGACGAAAATTTTCTATTGCCAATTGCGACTTTAGCGATGGAATTTATATATAGAATAGTGACAAAATTAGGCATAAGTGTAAATAGCTTTTAACAATAAATTTTTGTCCCTAATGCCATATTATTACCAACGGATAGTTTTCTGTCACTTCCGACGCTAATTTCAATTGGAAACTTTTAACAATTAGCACTAAAATTAGTGATTGAATTAGTGACAAAAATTTCTTCAATAAGTGCTTTTCAATAAATATATTTCACTAATTAACAAACAGGATTTTTAGCAATGGATTTCGGGGGTTCTAGAGATGAAAATTCTGTCACTAAAAGTCACAAAAGTATTATTTATGGAAAAAGTTCTAAAAAAATTTTGTAAAAAGACTTTTAGCAACGAAATTAAGGGATCTTAGTGATGAAATTTCATCTCTAAAGACTTTTAATGACGAAAATTTTGTCAATAAAAGTATATTGGTAGAAGTTTTAAGAGTTTAAAACTTGTTTTCCTTTTACTTTTTCCTTCCCATATTGCCTCTTGTTGGTCATTGGAGACTCTGCTCCACTAATTTGATTCAGATCCAATCCAAACTGCCCCTCCTTTTTTCTCTTCCCATTCTTTTCCATTTCTCTTCCCTTTGTCCTTTTTTTCTCTTCCCTACTCTACCCCAAACAAATCCTCTAATCTTCTCCATTAAAAAATCTTAGCTATGATATTTGGTTTTTTTTTTTTTTTGTATGTTAGGGTTTTTTTTCTATATTTTATTTTTTTTCAATTGTATATTATTTAAAAATTTTAGTATATTGATTAGTATTTTTTAGTATTATTTTAGTGTAGGATTTTTTTTGTATTAATAGTTCTATTATTTTTTTATTAATTTTCTATTAATTTATTATTATTTTGCAGGTTTTGTCAATATATGAGATCTTTGTTACAAGCTAATAATAATTTGGTAAATTTCTATACTACTTAGTTTTAAAATTTCATAATTAATGATGATTAGGGTTGCTTTTTACAAGTTATGAATGTGTAATTGTTATTGAGTTTATGGAATTGATGTGTTATTATTATGGAAATTGTGAAATTTGCATAGATTTTGTGGATTTTAAGTTGTGAAATTGTTGGAATTTATGGATTTGAAGTTGTGAATTTGGTGAAATTTGTTAAATTGAAATTTGTGAATGTGTAATTGTTGTTGAATTTATAAAATTGATGTGTTATTATTGTGAAAATTGTGAAATTTACATGAAGTTAGTGGATTTCAAGTTGTGAAATTGTTGTAATTTGTGGATTTGAAGTTGTGAATTTGGTGAAATTTGCTAATTTGAAAGTTGTGAATGTGTAATAGTTGTTGAATTTATGAAATTGTTGTGTAATTATTATGGGAATTGTGAAATTTGCATGAAATTTGTAGATTTCAGGTTGTGAAATTGTTGAAATTTATAGATTTGAAGTTATAAATTTGGTGGAGTTTGTTAATTTAAAATTTTTGAATGTGTAATTGTTTTTTTTTTTTTTTTGTCTACAGGAGAGCATAACCCTTTAAAGGGAAGGGGAGACCATAAATATATAATTGTAGTTGAATTTACAAAATTTGAGTAAAATTATTGTGGGAATTGTAAAATTTGCATGAAATTTGTGAATTTTAAGTTGTGAAATTATTGGAATTTATGGATTGATGTTGTGAACATGGTGGAATTTGTTAATTTGAAATTTGTGAATGTGTAATTGTTGTTGAATTTAGGAAATTGGTATGAAATTATTTTGGGAATTTGAGAAATTTGCATAGAATTTGTGGATTTTAAGTTGTGAGACTGTGGTTTTGCCCTTTTCTTTTTCTTTTTTAATGTTTTACTTTTGTCTCTAATCTTTCAAATTGGTGATGATTGACTCGTTCACTTGACAAATTTTTTTTTTTTGGGGTAAATTAACTAGCTGGTGAAATTAGTTCATAAGTTTCTTAAGGAAAAGAAAGGTTAGAATTAATTTATTCAAACATTTTATTCTTACTTTTTAGGATCTCTTTTAATAAATTTGCTTTGTAATTTATCTTACTTTTGCATTTGACATATGTGGTTATACCTTTAGACTTCTCTGTATAAGTAGTTTGAATTACTTATCTCTAAATTGTATATTTTATTTATTAAATTTAGCATTTATTATCTTTTTATGCATGATTTGAATGTTGAATTATAATATTATATAAGTATATTAAGATTTATATGAATGTATTATATAATTATATTAAGATTTATATGAATGATTTTTATTTAATTGGTAATTGAAAATTTGGTTTAAAAGTAAAAAAAAAAAAAAGGATCAATCCTTTTGAAGGAATGATTGATCCTATAAAAATATGGATCAATCATGTATCAATAAGGATCGATCCTCAAAATATGAAAAAATTACTAAGTATTAGCGGTGAAATTCTACGTTTTAGCAAGAAAATTCTGTCACTAAAAAGTTTAAACTAAGTTTATTGAACTTTTAGTGATAAAAATTCTGTTGTTAAAATGTTTTAGCATTGGATTTGTAAATTTTATTTTTGTAAAGTATTTAAAAAAACTTTTGGTGACAGAATATTATTTTTTAATTTCTCTTAGTTAAAATGAAATTTTTTTATCAATTGAATTATAGTATTAGTAAGAAAATTTTTGTTGCTAATGTTTTTATATTTTCTATGGAAAACTTTTTTAGTGACAAAATTCTTTTAGCAACGTGTCACTTGTATAAAGTTCTAGCGACAGAATTGCCGTCTCTAAAATTCATTTCTATCAAAAAGACTTTTAGAGACGAAATATTCTGTCACTAAGAGTATATTTTTTGTTCTCTAATATGTTTAAAAAATAAATCATAACAATTATAGGAAATTAAGTCATGCTATTATCATAATAGAAATAAGCTCTTAGTTTTTGTTTTCAAGAACTTGTTTTATGCAAGGAGTTCTTTATTTTTAAAAATAAATTCTAATATTTCTTGCTAAACATGCCCTCTATCTTCAAAATTAAAAAAAAAAATAAAACAAACCGCTTATAATGTTAAAGAAAAATCCAGTAAGAGAGTTTGATATTTATCGTTAATATAGTTACATTAAGGAAAAATCTTGTAAGAGAGTTTGATATTTATCGTTAATATAGTTACATCAGTTACGACAATAAGAAACAAAAAATAAAAAAAATTAAGAATCAAAATTATTTTTCTTTTTAAAAAATTAAAGATTTTCTTATTTTGCAATAATTTCCATATCTATCAGGCCTTAGTTTTTGTTTTCAAGAACTTGTTTTATGCAAGAAGTTCTTTATTTTTAAAATTGAGTAGTAACATTTCTTACTAAACATGCCTTCGATTTTCAAAATTAAAGAAACAAAATAAAACAAAACAAATCGCTTATAACATTGGGGGAAAATCTCGTAAGAGAGCTCGATATTTGTCGGTAATATAGTTACATCAGTTACAACAATAAAAAGCAGAAAATAAAAAAAAAATCATTTGAGAATCAAAATTATTAATCTTTCTAAGTAATTAAAGCTTTCCATATTTTGCAATAATTTCCATATATATCCGGGCCTACACATACACATTCATATATAAATACATTGTAGATCTATATGTCTTAGTATTCTTGAATTATCAAAGTTTAGGTAAGTCTCCCTTAACTATGTTAAAACTTTCTTACTCATCTTTGTTGAATTGTTTCTTTGGGATAGAATTACTTCACAAAAGTCACAATTACATGATCTATTTTCATTTTAATAGCTCAATCTTTTGTTATATGTTGAAGCATCTCCATGTATACACATAATTTCCTTGGATTTATTCATCAATATTAATTTTATTTATTTAGCTTTATATACATAAAATCCATAAGATGAGAAGGTATTATATGTTTACTTCAATGCCTTATGCAGCGTTTGTGGAAGGAGAAATCAAAGAGAGCAAAAAAGTGGAAATTGTAGCCATAGCAGGTGAGCTTGTATTCATCATTGATGAATAAATCTTCTTGTCTAATCACCTAACAACTATGATTGATTTAAAAACTTTTTGAATCTAAAAATTATACAAATATAAAAGCTTTAATTTTGCCTTGTTAAAGGTAACTAAACAACTTGAATCCTTACATGTTCATCATCAATCTAATTTCCTAACAATTTGAGATTATATTGTCACTTCTTTTTAGTGTAAATTCTAATGATTCCTTTTTTTTTTTTTTACTAACAAGATATTTAAAGGTAAATATTCTTGCAACAAGAATAAAGACAACAAAAATTGGTGAACTTGAGCCAATTTTCAGACCTAAGCATTTTGCTAGCTTCTCCATGATAACAACTACATTGGTTTTCGCTTGATCTGACACATATTTTTTTTCGCAGGTTGTTCTAGCCATCTATACAACTCTTAATTAAGGTTTAATAAGTTGAACTTGTTGGAATATATATCAAATGTTAACAAGTTATGGCTTAAGTACTTAATTTGAATATGAAGATCTCAAAAATAAAAATAAATAAGAAAGTAAGTACTTAATTTAAATATGAATAGATTGAATTAACATTAAATAATATGGCAATTATTTTTTACATTTCTTGTAGAGTTGAAAGAAAATGAATAGATTAAATTAACATTAAACAATAACAACGACTATTATTTATATTTCTTATATAGTTGAAATATTTTTAAAATTGCAAGTGTAAATTTTACTATAACTTGTGCTATACATGATAATCTCAAACCATTAATCTTTTTATTTTGTTTTACCTATACATTTGAAAACATCATATATCTTTATTAGATTCATTATTTTTATGATCTCATCTATTTAAATTGTAAAGAAATGTATAAGAAAATGATCTAAATGAAATACAACAAAATTATAGCCTTATAATTTGTAACTTAAAATGAAAACATGAAATGTAATATGATTTTTTTTTTTTTTTTTGCCTTTTCTCTCTTTGTATCTGTAACAATCTTCTTCAACTCTTATGGTAGTAAAATGAAAATGAATACCGTTAACGTTGGTTCTGCTGATAACCAAAAGACCAAGAACAAGGTAATTTTCGTGATGGGTGCGACAGCCACTGGAAAGTCAAAGCTTTCCATTGACCTTGCCACTCATTTCCATGGCGAAGTCATCAATTCAGATAAGATCCAAGTTTATAAAGGGCTTGACATCATTACCAACAAAGTGACTGTGGAAGAGGCTAGGGGTGTGCCACACCACTTGCTTGGGATCGTGAATGATTCCGAAGAAGATTTCACTGTTGATGATTTCTGTCACAATGCGTTGGAGGCCATTTATGCTATTTTGAAGAAAGGGAAAGTCCCAATCATTGGTGGTGGATCCAATTCCTACTTGGAGAAGCTTGTGGAGGATCCAACTATTAACTTCCGGCAACGCTTTGATTGTTGCTTTATTTGGGTGGATGCCTCTTTACCCGTTTTGCACGAACGGGTAGGGAAACGAATTGACCAGATGGTGATAGCCGGTCTTCTTGATGAGGTTCGTGAAATGTTTGTCATGGGGGCTGATTACAATCGAGGAATCCGACGGGCTATTGGGGCTCCAGAATTGGAGTCCTACTTCATGGTTGAAAAAGATACGAGTGGTGATGAGGCCACCAAGAGCAACATCCTCGCTAATGCTATCGAGGAGATCAAAGCCAACACCCGAAAGTTGGTTGACTCACAGCTTGGAAAGATCCATCGGCTGAAGAATGAGCTCGGCTGGGACCTGCACAGAGTTGATGTAACGTCTGTGTACGAAAAATGTGGGAAAGATGCTGAAGTTGCATGGGAGCAGCAGGTGTTAAAGGAAAGTTTAGAAATAGTGGGTTCGTTTCTAAACTAATGTACTTGTTTGAACAAGGAAAGGTTTTTCTTTTTTTTCCTATTTTATGTTTTAAATTTAAAGAACAATGGCCTTCTGTGACTTTGAGAATAAAACCTTTCATCCAATGATATTTTGCCTCATATGTTAATTAATAACTTAAAAATTATAATAATGTTTATTTTTCTCTTAAATCAGTTATATGTGTGATTAAAATGAATACAAGATGGCAAACATATATATAGTTTACAAAATTTTAAATTTGACCATTGATGCAAAAGATGTATTTTTATATTTATAAATGGAGAAAAGGGTAGAGATCGAAAGGCTTATCCGAACTCTTTTTTTTTTTTTTTTAATTTATCCATTTTATTTCAAAGCAATCTTCATATGTGCACTTAAAATTTATTTGGTCCATCTCATGATGATTTCGTTACAAATCTTGGAAATTAAGAAGCAACCTCCAATAACTAGTAATTTAGTAGGGGTGTAATTCTACTATGAAAGATTAAGACCATGTGAATTGCTAGATAGAGCACCTATTGTATGTTGATCTTGTATTTCATGATCCCTTCGAAAGTCCCAATTATTCCCATATACAATGACAATTAAGGTGCCCTACATATTGGAGCGAACCTAATTTTGCACAAAAGAATCAAATTATTGACAATGAGTTTTCATTTTGTTCATCAATGCTTAACATCCCCAAAAGAGGCAAAAAAAAGTCTTGCAATTTATGGTCATTGCTTCATACATGGTATGTACATGCACACACATTCAAGGCTTAATGACAATTAATTCAAGCTAATTCTTTTTTTTTTTTAATTGAATTCATGCTAATTCTTAAACATTTTACTATTATATGCAGAAACACTTAATGTGGTAATATTTTACAAAATCTGATAAATATCCTATATGGTTTTCTTTTATAAGATATAACAATATTCAAGTATTAAGAGTGTAAATTAAAGAAAAATATGGTTTCTAAATAATTATAAATTACCTATTTGTTTGATAAGAGCTGCATATTTCTTGGTGATAGAATCAACATATTAAGTAGGTTCTAGTAGCATTAGGTAAATGATGTGGCAATAATTTTTCTAGATTATCTTTGGAAATATATTACAAATTATTTGGAAATTAGTTTAGAAGGGTAGCATTAATGTATAAAAGAAAGATGGTCTTGATTATGATTCTCAATAATCTTAAGTAAGATTTGTTGACTAATTTGTCTACTTTTATTTAGGTATGAGTATAATTGGATAATTATAAGAATAGAGAGAGAAAAAAATACGACCATTTGAAATTTTGTTGAAGTGTCTTGGCCAGAATGTTATACCTTAGCTTTCAAAATGGCTAGGATGCATGTAATCTTACTTTCAAAATTAGGTTGTGCTCTTAATGCAAAATTAGCATCTAATCATTTTAAAAGATGGCATTCAATAGATTTAGAAATATATTACTATAAGGTGCATATATGTCAGAAATAAAATTTATATATTTGGTAGGTTCTAGCAATTTTTTTATGATGTGGAAGTGATTTTGATAAATTATTTGGAGTAGCATTATATGTATTTTATGAATTGGAAAGTAATTTAAAGCTTACTGAAACTGGTTATGAGGTGGTAGTGATTTTGGTAAATTATCTTGAGAAACATTGTATATATATATTTATGAATTTTAAAGTAATTTAAAACTTAATCAAAATGTTCAGAATTTTATTTAAAATATAAAAGATGGTCCTACATATTTTTTTATGGTAATAAGCCATATATAGAATATGGTTCTTAATAATCCATACAGAAGATTTCTTAACAACTTTGGCTGTATTTGTTTAATGACAAAATCAATTGAATTTGTGTAATAATTTGAAGAAAGAAAAAAAGTTATATATCTTTGTTGGCAGATTTACTTTCTTTAAAAGCAATTTCATGCTCATACTATGACACAATCAGACTTATTATATGTATTGGAGAAATCGTTCATTTCTACATCAGAAATTCACCCATCGATCCTAGACTTTTTTTTAGCACCTCCTGCTTCCATGTATCCTCAGCTTCTTTCTCGTATTTCTCATGCATAGATGTAGCGTCAGTTCTGCGCATTTTCCAGCCAAGCTCATTCCTTAGGCGACGGATCTTTCGAAGCTGAGAATCTACTAACTTCTGAGAATTGATTTTGATCGCTTCAACTAGCATCAATGAGCATCTTGTTTAGCCTCGTCAAAGTCTATTTTATTCTCAACCATGAAGTAGGTTTTCGTATCTGAAGCCCCAATTCCCCCTAACTAATTCCTCAAGTATAGTCAGCCTTGTTGATAAAACATCCCTCGAATTTCTTCCACCAGATCAATCAGTCTCAAATACAGTAGCCATCAAATTTTCTCGAATTTTAGTATTAGAATCCCCCACAGGTTTTTCTAAATAAGAATTTTACCTGCAATGGCAGTCATGATTGGGATGTGTCTATTCTTCGAAATATTATGGTGACTTTTAACATATGATGGAGGAAGTCATCAACAGTAAAATCTTTCTAAAGATCCACAACCGCTAGCAAGTGGCATGGCACACCACAAGTCAAAAAATCATCTAGCTGCAGGTTAGTTTTCATGCATAATTCATGACTAAACTTCTTGTGTAATTAGCTAAAGTCAGATATCATTGACCAGAAAACTTTTATTTTTGTTAAGACTAGTTGAATATGGTTAGCTTTGTGATAGGTGCAACAGTGCAACAGGAAGCTTTCATTTGACGTCGCAACTCATTTTCATGGGGAAATTATCAACTCCGATAAGATCCAAGTTTTCAAAGGGCTAGATATTATAACAAACAAAGTCCCCGAGGAAGATTACCCTTGTATGTGCCAGGGATTGCGGATGAGATCAAAGAAGATTTTTACTGTCGATGTCTTTTGCCTTCATTTTCTAAAAGCCATTGCTATTTCAAAGAATGGCCATATCCCAATCATTGCTGTTGGCTCTAAAATTTCTATTTGGAGAAACTTATTGAGGATCAAAGCATCAACTTTTGAGAAAACTTTGATTGCTTGCTTCATTTGTGTGGATGGTTTAACAGGTCTAGCAGAGGAAGTAGAAGCGATATTTGTTCCCGGGGCTGACTGTACCAGAGGCATTAGGCGAGCGATTGGGGCTCCAGAAATGCAGAACTACGTTATAGTTGAGAATAATTTAAATGTTGATGAGTCTACAAAGAGCAAGATCCTAATTGATGCTTTTGAAGACATTAAAATCAACACTCAGAAAATTGGTAGATTCTCAGCGCGAAAAGATCCATCGCGCTAAGAGATGAGCATGGATGGGAAATGCAGAGAATTGACGGTACATCTGTGCATGAGAAACATGGGAAAGAAGATGATGATACTTGGAAGGATGTGGTGTTGAACAAATAAAGTCGAGAAAGTGTAGGCGAGTTTCTGAGGTAGAAACATGGAGGATTTCTACCATTAAGTTCTTGCAGACAATTCAATTATTAATAAATAATTTCTATGATATATTCAAATTAAAAGTTAGTAAAGATATTCCTTACAAAAACTTAGTGCAGATATGCTACAATCCCGAAGGCTTAGTGTTAGGAAAATGGGGTCCAGTCCCATGTAAGTGGTTTTGGACCAAGTAAAGGCCATGGGCCTTAATCTTTTATTTTACACAGAGCCCTAGCTACTTAATAAAAAAGAAGTGGGGTTGTTTAAGGTGTGTGTCGACAACCAAGCAGAGAAAGAAGAAAAGCCAGGAAAAACAGAGAGAGAAAAATGAGAAGGGAGAGTTGGTTAAACGGAAGTCGATCCGTGGTCCGATTAAGTTGGAACCTTGTCAGGAGGTTTATGATTCAGAGTTATACATTCTGAACGGTGAAGATCGGGTTTGAAGCTCTCTAGGAACAAATCCAGGGTGTATTTGTTTAGTCACTTATTTGGTGAGATTTCTCCAATTGTTTCTCTAGTTGTTGATTAGCTCTAGTTTTAGCTAGAGAAGAACTTTGTATAACTATTATTTGATAGTGAAGATTTTTCTGGTGGCCCGTGGTTTTTCCCTCTACACTAGAGGGTTTTCCACGTAAATCTTGGTGTGCTTTATTTTTCCTGCGCATTTGATTATTGATTGTTGTCTATTGCTTCTGTATTGTTGTGATTATTGCTTCAGGCGCAACAAGTGGTATCAGAGCGAGAGTTATTTTGAGACATCGATACAGAAGCAACCCAGGATAGAAGTAAATTCTATTTGAGATCATGGAGGGTGATACAGGTTCTATGATAAAATTGACAGCATCAAATTATTCAATTTAGAAGCCTATGATGGAGGATCATCTATACTGCAAAGATTTGTATGAGCCAGTATTGGGTGATTCGGCTAAACCAGCAGATATGAAAGATGAAAGCTGGAAGAAGCTAGGTAGAAAGACGCTGGCTACAATCAGAAAATAGATTGATATCAGCGTGTTTCATCATGTAGCGCAGGAATCAGATGCTCACATTGTTTGGGAAAAATTGGCAGCATTATATGAGAGAAAAACAGGTATGAATAAAGTTATGCTTGTTAAAAAGATTACAACTTTACAGTATAGGGATGACGATCTGTTACAGAGCACTTGAGTGATTTTCAAGATATATTTAATCGGATAACTACTATGGAACTTAAGATGGATGATAAAATGAAGGTATTATTTCTTTTGGGTTCATTGCCAGACAGCTGGAATACTCTAGTTGTGACTGTTCTTAATTCAGCTCCTGATTATAAGGTGACATTAGAGATGGTAAATGACAGTATGTTTAATGAAGAAGCGAGGCAAAAAGATGTAGACCCTGGGAATCAAGCTCTGGTCACAGAGAACAGAGGTAGAAACATCGACAAAGGTCAGGACTCAAAAGGCCGTGGTAAGTCTAAACATAGATCCAAGTCTAGAGGTAAAGTGAAGTGTTTCCATTGTGGTAAGGCGGGTCATATAAAACGAAACTATAAAATCTTGAAGCAAGAGCGAAAAGATGAGAAAGGCAAGAGTTCAGATGATGGCAATGTTGCAGCAATGAATTCAGTTACTTTGATTTGTACACATGATGATTGTAATCATGTTAGTGATCTCGGCATTGAGTGGATAGTTGACACAGGAGCGACATATCATTGTGTTCCTAAGAGAGAGTTGTTTACAACTTACAAAGCAGGAGACTTTGGTTATACCAAGATGGGAAACAAGAGTGTGTCACAGATTATTGAGATTGGTGATATTGTTGTACAAACTAGTATAGGTTGCATGTTGACTTTGAGGGATGTCAGACACATTCCAGATATGAGAATGAACATGCTTGCTATTAATGTCTTAATAAGGAGGGATATGAAAGCCGACAAAAGAATGGACAGTGGAAGCTTCTCAAAGGATCTATGGTAGTTGCAAGGGGAAAACTATGTTGCATAATGTATAAGACATGGATGCAATTGAACGATAACCAGGTAAATACCATTGAAAATGATGCTTCAACAAACTTGTGGCACAGGAAGCTGGCACACATGAGTGAAAAAGGGTTACAGGTTTTGGCAAGGCACTCTCTCATTCCCTTGACCAAAGGTATGTCTCTCGATTCATGTGATTATTATTTGTTTGGTAAGCATCATAGAGTTTCTTTTCGTAAAAGTTCTCAGAGAAAAGAAAATAGATTGGAATTAATTTATTCTGACGTATGTGGTCCCATTGAGGTTGAGTTATTAGGTGGTAGCAGATATTTTGTTACTTTTATTGATGATGCTTCACGTAAGACTTGGGTGTATATGTTGAAATACAAAAGTCAGGTACTGCAGTATTTTCAAAAATTTCATGCCATGGTTGAAAGGATGACAGGGTTACCCTTGAAGTGTATTCGAACTGATAATGGTGGGGAATACACATCTAAAGGCTTTGAAGAGTATTGCTCAAAGCATGGGATCAAGCATGAGAAGACAGAACCTGAAACACCGCAGCATAATGGTATAACTGAAAGAATGAATCGCACTATTGTGGAAAAAGTCAGATGTATGTTGAGGATGGCAAAATTACCAAAGCCATTCTAGGGTGAAGCAGTCAACACAACTTGTTATTTACTTAACAGGTCGCCATTAGTTCTTTTGGGCTTTGACATTCCAGAAAGAGTGTGGACAGGGAAAGATGTTTCATACTCTCACTTGAAAGTTTTTGGGTGTAAAGCATTCATGCATGTACCAAAAGAGCAGAGGTCAAAGCTTGATAGTAAAGCTACACAGTGTGTGTTTGTAAGATATGGTGATGAAAAATTTGGCTACAGGGTATGGGATCCAGTAAAGAGAAAGACAGTCAGAAGCAGAGATGTGGTCTTTCATGAAAAAGAAACCATAGCAGACCTTGAGAAAAATGAGAAGACTACACGAGTTACTGTTGAATGTGATGTTTCAACACCGATAGGGATTTCACAAGAAAGAGCCACAGATGGTGAAAATGAGCCAGAAACAGAACTTGGGGATATGAATGAGCCAGCCATAGTTGGTGATGAGCCAGATGCTATTAGTTTTGAGCAGGGGGAGCAATCCTCTCTACCTGAAAGTGTTAAGCAGGGGGAGCTACCTTCAGCATCAAGTGATGTAGAGTCTCAGCTCAGGAGATCTACTAAAGAGCGCAGGCCATCTACCAGGTATCCAAGTTCAGATTTTATTTTAGTTACTAGTGAAGGGAAGCCAGAAAGCTTTTAAGATGTACAGGCTACTCCGAATAGAGAGCACTAGTTAAAAGTAATGAAAGAAGAGATGGAGTCATTACGAAAGAATGATACTTATGATCTTATTAAACTTTCAACAGGGAAGAGGCCATTAAAGAATAAATGGGTGTTCAAGTTGAAAAAGGATGGTGACAAACTAGTGAGGTACAAAGCTCGATTGGTAGTAAAAGGTTTTTCTCAGAAACCAGGTATCGATTTTGATGAGATTTTTGCTCCAGTTGTAAAAATGAGTTCTATTCGAGTGGTACTGGGATTGGCAGCTAGTTTGAATCTTGAGCTTGAGCAACTTGATGTTAAAACTGCATTTTTGCATGGTGATTTACAGGAGGACATTTATATGAATCAGCCTGAGGGTTTTGAAGTGAAAGGGAAAGAGCACTTAGTTTGCAAATTGAAGAAAAGCTTGTATGGCTTGAAACAAGCTCCGCGACAGTGGTACAAGAAGTTTGATTCTTTTATGGTGAGTCATAGCTATAAAAAAATAGCAGCGGATTCTTGTGTGTATATTAAACAATTCCCTAATAGTAACTTTATTATCCTATTATTATATGTTGATGATATGTTGATTGTAGGACAAGATGCTAGTATGGTTTGCAGGTTGAAAGAACAATTGTCTAAGTCCTTTGATATGAAGGATTTAGGTCCAGCAAAACAGATTCTTGGTATGGACATTATCCGAGATAGGAGAGCTGAAAAGCTGTGGTTGTCCGCAGGAAAAAATAATGTTGAACGGTGCTTGGGTAGTTTCAACATGCAACATGCTAAATCAGTTAGCAGTCCACTTGGCCAACTATTTATCACTCTAATTGGTCTGTACGTGTGAGCAAGATTTCTTTCTAATCAGGAAGTTCACTGAGAAGCAGTAAAATGGATTTTTAAGATATTTGAGGAGTACCTAAAATGTATTTGACCTTATTGAAGTTTCCACAACCATTCTAGAAGGGTTTACTGATGCTGAATGCAGAGCCGATCTTGATTTGGTAGGAAATCTACTTCAGGGTCATTTGTTATTTTGCTGACGAGGGTTTATCTCTTGGCAGTCTAAGTTGCAAGAAGTGTGTTGCTTTGTCAACTACAGAAGCTGAGTATATTGCAATAACTGAAGCATGTAAAGAAATGCTTTGGATGAAACGTTTTCTTTTTGAATTGAGATTGAATCAGAAAGAGTATGTGATATTTTGTGATAGCCAGAGTACTATTGATTTGAGTAAGAATACCATGTACCATGCTAGAACAAAGCACATTGATGTTAGATATCATTGGTTACGTTCAGTGATTGAAGAACAGTAGATGCTATTGAAGAAAGTCCATACTGATAAAAATATGGCAGATATGTTGACTAAGATACTTCCCAGGGAAAAGCTTGAGCTTTGCAGTAACTTGGCCGGAATGAGTTCCCTGGCCAAGGTAAGTTCCAAATGAAATTGCTACGGTGATGAATCTCTTTCTAATGGGACTAGAAGGAGAGATTGTTAGGAAAATGGGGTCCAGTCCCATGTAAGTGGTTTTGGACCAAGTAAAGGCCATGGGCCTTGATCTTTTATTTTACACAGAGCCCTAGCTACTTAATAAAAAAGAGGTGGGGTTGTTTAAGGTGT